AACCATTCAGAGTTACCCGGCTAGGTTAAAGTATTTCCACATGAGCTCTCTTTCGGAGCGGAGACGCACTCTCGATCTATTGTTCCTGCATAAACTTGTTAACGGAGAATACGATGCCCCTGATCTCTTATCTCTTCTGAACTTTAACGTGCCGCTGACGTCGACAAGGGCCTCGAAGTTGATGGTGTTCAGGGTTCCCAGATTCTACACCAACCTAGGTAAGAACGCGCCTCTCAGCAGACTAGTTGGGGAATTAAATAATTTGCATAACAAGTATTCTCTGGACGTTTTTGCTGGCACTGTTGACAGTTTTAGACGAGAAGTCTACAGCCTTGCTCAATGAGTTTTTTCAATTAAGTAATAGCGTATTTGGTAGTAAATGTGTATTAATGTAAGGTCTTCATGTAATGTTATATATAGTTTTTCTTTGTTTTTTATATAATGAACCGCTTTTTTTTTATGCATGCAGTCGGTACCTGTAATTGTGTTAGCATTTAGTGTGAAATCAATGTATATGATACCTGTAATGTTCTGTGCTGATGTATAACATGTTGGTACCCAATAAATAAAATAAAATAAAAAATAAAAATAATATAAACTCACACGATTTTAAATCGCTGCGGCTTAACTGTAGTGCGGCCTAGGCCTTATAACGAGAAAAATGGTATCTTAACAAATTCGTCAGTTTATTTATGTACAAATCAAACAGTTTGTTTATTCTACGATAAGAACGTTTTGTTGCAGGTCACCATTTTTTTTGGTATTTTCTTCGAATGTCCAGTCTTTTTTGGAAATGACATTTGAGGTTTAAATGAGAGCGCTTTGAAATTGGACGCCTGTTGATGCTAAGTAACAATGCGTTCTGTAAACGAAGGACAATATATATTTGAATCTTGGAGACGTTTTTTTATTTGTTTACCATAGACAACATTGGAGCAGTTTGGTAGTAAAATCAGAATAGGATTGCGCTCTTTCATGATGTCATGCCCTTTACGCCGTCATTTTCGACTCCATTGCTTTTCTGATTGTCTGTATTTTTTTATTAAGGACTAGCTGAGTCCCGCGATGTTACCTGCGGTTATTGTCGAACCGCGGGTGACGCCGCGGGGCGAAGCTGGTCTAAAAAAGTAGCCTAAGTTACTCCTTATATCATGAGCTACCTATCAGTGAAAGTCCCGTTAAAATCGGTCCAGCCGTTCAAGAGATTAGCCGGAACAAACAGACAGATAGACAGACAGACAACATTAAAAAAAAAGTCTTATTTTGGTATAAGTACTGTGTATACATTCTTACGCATTTAGTAAAAGGTGGTTATCTTATTATTACAAACAGACACTCCAATTTTATTTATTTGTATATATTACTGGTGGCTCGCAGGCCTTTCCAGTTTCATCAGCACAGGTGGGCGAGCACGGGCTCAACCAGGAGGGTCTCATACTGTACCTCTCATGCTTCTTATTCTTATTAGTTTGACACGTTCATCCTCACTTTGTATTCCTTTTTATTTTATTACATTCAAATTTGGTTTCCAAGTTAGCGACAGTGTAGCTCTATTTCGTTTACATAAGTACATACGTTATTTAATTCGTAGCTTTTCACTTTAGAGGTTTTGTTTTGAATTCGTCTGTTTTTACTGGAGTTCATGCAACTTGAATCGCGAATTCATAACCGCGCCGGTGTCTAGTGAGGCGCTAAAGTATTTCGCTTCAGTTAGGTACGACAGTTTATTTTTAATTTCGCTCTTGTTTGATGTACACGTGTTTCGTTGAGAAGAAATGGTCGCGAAACGTAACAATGTTAGCTTCGAAGACGCGTTAACTATGACCGGTAAGTGCGGTTTTAAGGCAATAACAGGTTATTAAGCTTTTATCGTGAGCTTTGAGCGCGGCGACTGAATCAAGAAATTCCGTAACGAAAATAACCTGACACCCCCACTACGCCTACTATGTAGCTCGCGTTCAACACATTCACACGTTGCGCTTGTGTAGTGTTTGTGAATAAGCGCGCGGCGTGACGTCGCACTGCCGCGTGCACATCATGAAAAGTCTGCCCATCTCTCCCTCGCGCGGTCTAGGATATGAGTGTGAAGGGGACAGTTAATGTTTTGTTTTTGTTAATGTTTATAAATATAGCGTGGTATTATTGTTGTTTTAATATTAAATTATTATTGTCGGTTTTTAATGCTTAAGTTGATAAAAAATGCTATACAATAGCTTTACCGCGGCAGTCTCTGAGTGCAACACGTGTTTTTTTATTATAGGGTATAGTTTACTCTGCTGTAACATATTGTCTTGTAAATGCTATTGTCATATAGCCCATACGCTATTGTTTATTTTTTGTGTTAACAACTAAAATAATTCATGGTCCATCCAGTGTTAAATGGTTACCATAGCTCATACATGTTTCTACTCTACTGCCAATATTCATCTTGAGATATACCTAAGGTCTAAGCGTCAATTGTATAAATCAACGGTAGACCTTTCAAGCCGAAACGCATTGTTGGTTCGCTGCAGACATAAGCAGGGTGGTGACGGCTATCTGGCAACAAGACGGCTTGTAACCAGTAATAACGAAAATAATTTGTTTGCAGATTAGATTTTCATTACACAATGTTATTATAACTGTATTGTGTCATTTTTGAAAATTTCTTAAATACGTAATAGTGTTTGGAAAGATTGGTATCTGTATCCGGGATTTCAATACCGACGTAATCGCACCGCTCTATCTTTTTTTCCTGCCTATTCTAAACAGCCGCCAGGGGTTATTCTAGATTCAGCGAACTAGTAGGTGAGCTCACGGGAGTGTTGCTGACACTGGCCCTAGCAAAAGCAGTCTTTCGCAGAATCTACCACGGGATCGGAAACGCGACCCACTGAGAAGGGGAGAAGTCATCGTGGCCCAAGGATAAGACGTCCGGTGCATTCGTATGTAGCGATGCACCAGTGTTCGAATCCCGCAGGCGGATACCAACTTTTCTAATGAAATACGTACTTAACAAATATTCACGACTGACTTCCACGATGAAGGAATAGCATCGTGTAATAAAAATCAATCCCGCAAAATTATATTTTTTGTAACTACTAGTGGTAGGACCTCATATGAGTCCGCTCGGGTAGGTACCACCGCCCTGCCTATTTCTGCCGTGAAGCAGTAATGCGTTTCGGTTTGAAGAGTGGGGCAGCCGTTGTAACTATATTGAGACCTTAGAACTTATATCTCAAGGTGGGTGGCGCATTTACGTTGTAGATGTCAATGGGCTCCAGTAACCACTTAACACCAGGTGAGCTGTGATCTCGTCCACCCAACTAAGCAACAAAAAAAAGAAGATTCGGCGAGAAACTTAGTGGGCTGTGTCTATGGGTTAATTTACTCGTCGAGCCCTTCGTCGTACGCGGCAGGTTCGGCGAAGACGGTGGCCGGTGCTTGAGGTACCTAAAAGCACCGTTAATGGATCGGGAGACTTACAAGGCAAATACATTCAATTGCAATGCTATGTTTTGAACGGATAATCACGATTTCTTGTACTTGATTCTCGTTGCTTAATGTCTGTCTGTCAGATTGATTGCACGTTTAAGATAATAAGTCTCCTGACAATAATTTGTGAAGCTTAATTTTAAATGAATAATTGAATTGAGTCCAGGTTATGGCAAGTTCAACTTGTTGATGTTCACGGTGTGCAGCAGTGTCATCACGGGCATGGTTTTCGAGGTGTTCTCTGTGTCGTATCTTGTCCCAGCCAGTGCCTGCGAGCTGAACACCACCAGCACTCAGCAAGGAATCATGGCCGGTATACCATTAACTGGTTAGTTGTCATGTTAATCCTTCTATAATTTATTTTATTTTTATATTTATGTATTTATTTACTACTACTACTACTACTACCACCACCACCAGCACCAACACTACTACTACCAGTACTACGACTACTACTATTACTGCTACTACTACCACCACAACCACCACCAGCAGCAGCACCACCACCACCACCAGCACCACAACAACCACCAACATCACCAACACCATCAAAACCACCACCACCACCAACACCACCACCACCACTACTACTACTACAACTACAACTACTACTACTCCAGGTGTGATCATGACTTCGCACATCTGGGGCTACCTAGCCGATACCCGGGGCCGTCGGAAAATACTCTCTATCTGCATGAGTATTGGGTTCATAGCTGGTTCTATAGCTGCATTCTCGCCGGACTGGATTAGCTTCAGCGTTTTTAAGTTCACGTCTTCAGCTGCGTAAGTATTTGGAGCCATTTTTATGTGAAATATAGCATTAAAGGGGGCAAATTGGGTATTATGAAGAGGGATTGTCAGAGCACTTTGGAAATATCGTTGTGAATTTCACTCTAGAGCCAGAAGGAATTTGGCATAAATGGTTTTTGGAAACGTACTGTGGAGCTCATCCAATAACAGTAGTAAGGCAGTACTGTTCCAGTATCGAGTGATGTGGTGGTTGAAAGGAGATGACAGTGTATCTCGAACAAGAGATCTCACAGTTGCCGTGGAACCGTCTGTACATAACAAAGAGCAAACCGAAATACCTTGATAGACTCAGATATTCAAAGCTATTCGTGATATCGGGGTTTTAACATCAATCCGTATGGTGTTGTTCAATGTGGAGGCAGTTAGCATTTGGGAGTTCTGGTCCAGAGATTGGAGTACTAAAACCTGCGAGATCAAAGTTGTGCTTTGTCTAACTTCATGTCCAGTAGTAAGGTTACAGTTATAATTTCTGTAAATTAAACGGCTGTCTGGAAGAGATCCCTTTACCGATAAGATCGCCTATTGTACAAATGTATCTACTCGTTGACTGTTTTTTTAATGTTGTAGCGATGCAACGGTGTTCGAATCCCGCAGACGGGTAGGTACCAATTTTTCTAATGAAATACGTACTTAACAAATGTTCACGATTGACTTCCACGGTGAAGGAATAACATCGTGTAATAAAAATCAAACCCGCAAAATTATAATTTGCGTAATTACTGGTGGTACGACCTCTTGTGAGTCCGCACGGGTACGTACCACCGCCCTGCCTATTTCTGCCGTGAAGCAGTAATGCGTTTCGGTTTGAAGGGTGGGGCAGCCGTTGTAACTATATTGAGACCTTAGAACTTATATTTCAAGGTGGGTGGCGCATTTACGTTGTAAATGTCTATGGGCTCCAGTAACCACTTAACACCAGGTGGGCTGTGAGCTCGTCCACCCGTTTAAGCAATAAAAAAAGTGTTCTGGTGTGTAATTATGTATATTCTCTCCCTCTCTCTCTCTAAAGTTACGCTTTGCTCGATTGAAGACGATTTGGTTTTTGCTTTACATTGCTTTGCGTGTATCTTTCTTAAGAATATGATTTGTAATGGTTATGGTTTATTTACTACAACACACACACTATACAACCACTTTTCCCAAGCAATTGTTTAATCCTCTTATCTCAAAGTTGATTCGTGGCTAAATATCTTATCACCTCATTGCTTCCCGCATCTAAAATAACACCTTTCATTCAGCCTTTGTTATGGCTTTTCGTAGCAAATACGTAACTAGAATATTAGTTAACCCGTCCTAAAAATTCCATTGAAAATTAAGTCGTCAGCAATAAACCAAATAATGTTATAGCAAGTCTTAGATGAGATAGTGAACCGTAAGCAAACATCTTGTTACGTTGAAATGTCTTTGATAACAGTTTGCGTTAATATACGACAAATATTAGACAGTCAACAGAAACGTGGTGATTGTAACAAGATAAATTTAATATTTCAAGTAATATATAAAGTTTAATATATCTGTTTAATTTTGCAACTCGCTATCTATACCCAAATATTATTTAGTTTATTATTTAGTTGGATAATAAGCAACATAATATTTGGGTGTAGATTGCGAGTTGCATATCAGGTACCTGCGTTGAATTTCACTGTGTCCAAATAAAGCGAATTACAAAGGATCTTCAGAATTCATGCTGGAGATTTTTTAAATTCTACTTCGAAGGTCAGTTTTGAGAGAATTGGGATGATCCATTATTTTTGTATTTTTACTAAGCGTAAAGTAAAAATTGAGTAAGTGAAAGTGTCTCAGTAAGTTCTCAAAACCGATTTGGTGTTGTTAATGCCCAAACCTCTCTTTTTATTTTCAGCTTAGGGGGCGCCTTCGCATTATCTATGACCTTACTTAGCGAGTGTACTCTGGCGGCGAAGAGGAGTTCTCTTGTCATTCTTACCACCACTGTTTTTATGTTTTCCTCTGGACTGATGGCATGTATGAACTTGATACATCAAACTTCTATAATTACTAGAATACTTTGAGCCCGTGTTTCGGTACTACTGATTTCTGGATAAACCATATTTGTGTTGTTCGGATTTGCAAGGTACACCAGTCGTTCATCCAGTAACATTGGAACTTCATATTTTCAAATGGGTAATGACAGTCATGGTAAAGCTAAATGCGCTCAGGTGAAATTGATTCTGCAGTGTGGTTTTTGGTCAATTATTTCCAAGAGATATGTTGATGATCATGCAAAATTGGATGAGATTGGTTTAACTGTAGATCTTTAGGGAGGAATGTTGTTGCTGATCATTTCTAGAGATCCTAAACCTTCATAGCCCATCGGGTTCTAACTAGAACTTTCACTTTGAGAACTGTTCAAGGAGTTAAGTGCGAGCTTTAAGTTACTGTTCTATAAACTAATAATTTTATTTTTAGTGATATCGATCCCTGTGCTGCCACTCAAATTCTCATACCATATCTCAATCTTGAACATCCACTTCAACTCCTGGCGTCTGTTGAGCCTAATCTTCAGTGCTCCATCAGCAGCGTGTGCAGTTGCTGTTGCCTGTACATATGAGAGCCCGAAGTATTTGGTCAGCATCAGAAAAGAGGAAGAGGCCTTGAAAACTTTACGAGGAATTTTCATGATCAATAGCGGAAAGAGCGGGTCGTTATATCAGGTAAACTATTAGTCATTACATCACATCTTCAGGCCACAGTCGTCCACTATCGGACATAGGCCTCCCAATCCATATCACTGAGCTCGGTCTTAGTAGTAGTACTAGTAGTCACAGTCATATTGTTGCTTACACGAGTCCATATAGTAGATATAATATATTATATTAGTCGATATATATTACTTCGAAAAAAATCGAAGGTTCCTCAAATCTTAATGCTAAATATGTTCTTACTGTTATAAAGTCACGCCTCTTAATCTTTATTTTATTAAACGTTTTGTCAATCGTGCCTGGGGTTGTGGATGGTTCGACAGTGATAAATAATAACCTACTCACAAACCTAGTAACCTAACTAAAGCATGACTTTTAGTAATTTACTAAGCGCTATGACGTTTTCTACTTCAAAAGAATATTGGGGAGAGTACTTAACGATAGGCAGCGGCTTGGCTCTGCCCCTGGCATTGCTGAAGTCCATGGGCGACGGTAACCACTCACCATCAGGTGAGCCGTATGCTAGTCTGCCTACAAGGGCAATAAAAAAAAAAAAAAAAAGTTTATTTGTGTTTTAATTGAAGACATATGATTCAACAATTGCTTGGCAGAAGATTTTCTTATTGTATCAGAAAAACCAATAGCGTATTTTACAAAAAAACATGACCATGTCTTATATAATCATAAATTACTACTGTCTACTACTACTACTACTACTACTACTACTACTACTACTACTACTACTACTACTACTACTACTACTACTACTACTGTACTACTGTTGGGGACATAGCCTGTTTTCTAGCACTGCGTAGATACTGAGTGAGACTGAGAGATTGACCAGTAATTTCTTTTTGATACAGGTAGATTCGGTAATACTTGATGAGAAACTTACAGAAAACACCAAAGGAATATTCCGGTCTATGTTGGCGCAAACCTTGCCGCTGCTACAACCGCCGCTTTTGAAGCGCACTTTGTTAATAGGATTGTTGTTCGCAATGAGTTACATAGCGTGAGTTACTTTAGTAATACCAGTTAGGACATAGACTTTAAAAGCTTTAGGATTAAGCTTATGAGACTTATTATAAAGTCAGTGATTATTTTATTGACGAAAGCGTTTAGCTTTGTATTATTATTTCACAGTATTTCACTCAGCGTAGTATAAATCTTTATCCAGGGTTCATTATCGTCTGTTTCCTCTTGTTCAATCTAACTCTATTATACTTCAGCTAGGAATTCTTTTCAATTTAAACTTATTTTTAAAAGCACTATCTAGATACTTTTTAAAAGAAGTAGAAAAATTAAGTGAAATACGTGTAAGCATCACTATTTTTTTTCGTTTCTTCTTTATATTTAAAATATGTATGTAACTTACTATTTCATGGAATAAAAGGCTTATTATTATTATTATTATTTGTAATTTCAATAAGTCGTACAGATCCGATTAAGCTTGGTTTCAAATCCCCAAAGTATCATTTTTTCTAAGGGACATAAGGACGTAATACAAGGTACGCATGCACGAAGGAAGTCAAAATTGTTGTTTTTTTTTTCAGTTTAAATCCATTCATGGTGTGGTTGCCCTTCATAGTAAACTCCTTCATATCACCAAGTGGTGGAAATGAAGCACTTACGCTCTGTCAGATGGCTCAGCTATTTATGGATACTACTAAAACTGTTCAAGAGGTAAGACTAGTTAAACCAATTATACAAGACTACCGGCTATCGATCAGAAGATACTGATGGGGCTCCAGCCTCTTATGGTTTCATTATTGGTCTATATTAGAGGTTTTTTCACTGGTCATCATAGACATAGCGTCAACATCGCCACTCAGGAATGTTGTGACAAATTCTCAATGCCAGCCATTTCATCGGAACGTATGAATGTTTCGTAAAAGAAATAGGTACCTAGGTGTGAGATTATTTTAATTTTTGACGTGACAACGTCTTATAATTCGATGGAGCCGGCTGCACGTACGAAAAAACATGACTCTGCGGCGCTACCTCGCTCTGAGGCGTTCCATTTAAGGCTTGAAGTGCAAGCGAAAGCGCGCAACGAGCGACAAAGAGGCACAATCGGCCTCCGCGTTCGGCAGCGTTCGACATCCGTCTCTCTCCGCGGACCGCGGACCGCGGACCGCGGAGAAGATAAGACTTCATTCTCTGAAGTTCATTACATGATTTACGACAGACGAGAATCGAAAATTCGTTGCGGTATACCGCGGTCCTGGTAATACTTTTAGCTTAGGATCGTAATACAGATGTCAGTAGATTCTTAAGGGCTTTTGATTACAAAGTGGAAGTTTAGGGCGATGCTTTGCCAAGTCTTAAAAGTGACTGAGGTAAAAGCATAAATTAAGTCTACATAAGGTTGTGAACTGCCAATACGAGGGCATCCACTAGGGGAGCCACTGCGGTCATCCACAGTGCGTTTCCAGAGATCTTTTTTGCCACGTACCATCCGGCTATGGAATGAGCTCCCCTCCACGGTGTTTTCCGAGCGCTATGACATGTCCTTCTCCAAACGAGGCTTGTGGAGAGTATTAAGCGGTAGGCAGCGGCTTGGCTCTGCCCCTGGCATTACTGAAGTCCATGGGCGACGGTAACCACTCACCATTAGGTGGGCCGTGTGCTCGTCTGCCTACAAGGGCAATAAAAAAAACCTGGGATATTTCATAGCATTTCTATATCGCTACTTCTTTCAATATTATCTTTGATAACAGATAAAAATAATGTTTTTTTTTCAGCCCAGCGATTGTACTATGAACAAATTCGCCATGCTTGTTGTGTTCGGAATGAACACGATTCTGTCTATATTCAACATGTTCTTATCCAGTTTGGTGAGTTGGGCTGGCAGAAAACGAGTCTTTATTGGCTTACAGGTATTTTTGAACAATATTACTATCTCACTCTACTCTTTAGTGTTCTGTCTAAAATACATAGTCAGATTATTTGGCGTTATATTAGGTTTCACACACACAACAGGACACAACCCACCGAGTTTCTCGCCGGATCTTCTCAGTGGGTCGCGTTTCCGATCCGGTGGTAGATTCTGCGATGCACTGCTCCTGCTAGGGTTAGCGTTAGCAACTTCGTCAGGTTTGAGCCCCGTGAGCTCACCTACTTGTTAGGTTACGCTGATATAGCCTCTCAAGGCTATCAAGGCAAAGCTTTAGGAAAATGTTAGTACTGCTAAAAAGTTTTAACTAAAGCGATCCATAAACCATAACCATAAATCTTAATATCATAAACCATAAATCTTAAATCGTCCACGGCCTATTAGAAACATCTGCTGTACTCGAATTGATTAATACGATTATGCTGGGTTTTAAATTTCGGGACTCATAAAAAGGTTGTCAAATAAAAATGAAACGAATAAAGATAAAGTGCGTTATGATTTTTTAGTCAATACCTGCCTATGTGTGGTTTGAAGCAGTAGGTTTTGCCAGCTTGAAATTCTATTATCATGGTACTGTTGAGTCTTTGACCTCCTTATGGCATACCTCCTGTCACCTGGAGGTATTCTTTTCGTGAGGTGATGTCAGAGTCAGGTGCATCTTTTACTGCAAAATAAATCCATGAAAATTTAGTTTTCAGTCCAACAAAGCAGCAGAAGAGTCTCAAGTTAGACGGCATACATAATAGCATGTATTATAGTGCATAATAATATTGTTACGCTCGAGATAAATAAAACTTTCAACGAATTGCAAATTAACACATACTTCACAATTCGCAATTCACTTCTTCCGCTTCGCTTCAGGTGATCCATTGGCTGTTTCGCTTCGAGTAGAACCGATTACTAACTGCCTTCATGTCATCTCTACAACGCTTTTATAGTCGATACGACAAGTCTACAATTATCGAGAACATTCCCGGTGGTACTAGTCGTTTCGATGTGTGTTTTCGCCATTTGATAATAGATGGCGTTACACTTCTCGAGCGTTCTCGATATTACTAGTTCTTCTGATATTAGTTTCTGCTATTTGGTGACAGATGGCGTTACTCTTACCGACATAACAGTATTAAAGGAAGTGCAATGATTTTTGAAAAATAAAGCATCTTATTTATTTTATGTTTCAGATAATTGCTGGGTTGTCCGGCTTATGTGTCAATTTATCATCAATCAAGTGGCTTAGTGCGATCTTTTTCGTAATTTTCTTACTGGCTATACTCAACTTTGGCTTACTTACTACTTACAGTGTTGATATATTTCCTACATATGTCAGGTGAGTACCCTAATGTACCTGTTTTTAAATTTTTGTGTGAATCAATTATTTCATTCCAGGCAAATGCGGCTTACTTACAGCAGTATAAGATCTCAATACTTTAAATTACAACACATTGTTTTAATTAACCTAAAATAGCAATGTCCCTTCATGTGATTACGTTCTCTGATATCACCATACCGTGATCACAAATCGATATTTAAAAGTCATTGGACGTATATATATTTTTGCTAGAATCTAATTAGGTTTTAGGTTTATGAAGGGTTGGGCGGTTAAATAATGCAATTAGGGTTTCGACCTTATGGCGGCATACTAGGCTCTAGTTACAAACACAAATATGACCTTTGGCCTCAGTCTTTGGTGTTCAGTGTGGACCGTCAATGGAAATTTCAGTTGAACAGCCAGGCAAGACAAAAAAACCTACTGACTGGCATTGAGGATGTGCGCTGATTCTCTTCCTTACTATCCTTACTGATGATTACCATCGCGCATGAACATGAGTAGTACAGGAAAGCCAAGCTGCTGTGTGTGTCTGTTGCTGACCCATAGACACAGCCCGTTGAGTCTCTCGCCGGGTCTTCTAAGTGAGTCGCCATTCTAATCTGGTGGTAGAAACGAAGGTGAAGCATAGCTCTTGGTAGGTAGTGTTACCAAATTCTCGCAGGTTCGGCCCGTGAGCTAACTTATCCGTTCGTGAGAATCTGGAATAGCTCGCTAGGTTGCTAGTGAATACGTATGGAAAAAAACTGCTATCTACTGCTCAGTATCTTTTTCAAATTTCGTTTGATCTGTGTTTTTTAAGGTCTTGAACAATTTTATCGTAAATACCTGTCTTGATGCATCACCAGCATCAGTCCACAGTTGTCTAGGGTTGGTTATAGGAGTCTCACAATTGACGATACGGAGCCCGGTTATCGATTCTCCATATCTACTTCTTGCTGCTCACCTTTCAGGATATCGTGTACTACAATCGGCTGGTTGGAGCACACGGGTGTCTCAATATGCTGAACGTTTTCTTTTACAGAGCAATGGCTGTCTGCTTGACACTAATGGTAGGAAGGGGCAGTGCCGTCATCGGTATTAACGTATTGAAGATCTTAATAGAGTCACATTGTGAAGTGGCGTTTTACATTTTCGGCAGTGTTACCATATGTAAGTGCTCAATTTCTGAACATCAAAGTGTCAGCGAGCGACGACGTCTGCCATGACACCAACTCTCTTTCTAATCCAGCCGCCAAGAGCGACGCATCAATTTTATATTTCTCTTATATTCAGTCTTTAAATTTGTCATATTATGGGTAAAATAAATATCTCAAAACAATAAATACAGTCCACACTCAATTGCCACAATGCAACACTAAGATCCTCAGGATATATGTACACGAATTCCTCACGAATTTTGTGGTTAAATCGAAGATAGCCAACATAACTAATGATTCTTCGGACGACAATACTAAAGATCGCATTAGAATAAGTAAATTTAAATGGATTTTTTTTCAGTATTAAGGCTACGGTATTAATTGGAATGCTATGTTGCAGGTAGCGGTCTAATTGGAGTATTAATTCCTTCCGATACGCAACTTCTGAAGTTAAAAGAGGAAGATTCCGGAAAACCGTAGACATACATAAAACTTTAACTATAACATCAATCTTACCGTAAGGTGTCCAATCGGTTCGAATATAGTTGTTGAGAAGAAATGAGAAGAAAGAAGTGTTAAGAATTCAGGTCATCTGGCGTTACCTGAGCCCATAATTAGACCTGACTTTCTAACCGTTGCTGAGCGCATTGTCAGGGCGCAAAGACTATAAAATCGGCTACCATTAAATTGTAAATTATTATATACTTCATATTTCAACGGAAGCTTTGACCTCACGTCTCAAGAACATAGCAGAACAGTGGCAACTGGGTACTGAGCTCTGCCACTCATCGAGGATAAACATACCCTAAAACCTAAGAAGGAAGTTGCAGCGGTCAGGATATGGCGTTTAAATTGGATTGGGCTATATCAATCTAAGCTCTCACCTTCTGGTCTACGCGTGACATGATACTCTGCTTTGAAATCTTCTGGGATACTACTAATAACGTACAAAAAATAATATATTTTTGTTATATATTTTTTATAAATCATTGTGAATAAAATAAAGTTGATAATTTTGTAAAGTAGTTTTTTTTTATCAAAAAAAAAATCATGATAATGTATACCCGAATAATTATTTTCTTTATACCTCGAATAGAATTTAAAATTAATATTTTTATAATAAGGAACTTCGTTCCTGTCCGGTGTCCCACGACACCACATTTCTTTTTTTTATTGCTTAGATGGACGGACTATGTGTGGTGATGGTGTTAAGTGGTTAATGGAGCCCATACACATCTACGACGTAAATGCGCCACCCACCTTGAGATATAAGTTCTAAGGTCTCAAGTATAGTTACAACGGCTGCCCCACCCTTCAAACCGAAGCGCATTACTGTTTCACGGCAGAAACAGGCAGGGTGGCGGTACCTGCCCGCGCGGACTCAAGAGGAGATAATTTTGCGGGTTTGATTTTTATTACACGATGTTATTCCTTCACCGTGGAAGTCAATCGTGAACATTTGTTGAGTACGTATTTCATTAGAAAAATTGGTACCCGCCTGCGGGATTCGAGCATCGGGGCATCGCTCAACACGAATGCACCGGACGTCTTAATTCTTTAGGCCACGACGACTACAAGCGGAGCTGTCCCCTATTCACTCTCATCTCCAGACCACCTAGCATTTTAACCATTGCGTCATTTTCGCATCGCGCCGGGACGTATTCCAGGATTAAATGATGTTGATAATAATAATATTCACCAGTCACATTATTATTTTTTTCAAATAAAGAACGTCCTTGAAATGTACCTGAAGTTTTGTTACTGTTGTATTATCATAGGAAATAAATATTTGTTGAGTCTGTGGATTTGTTTATTTTTTTTTAATTGTTATCGTTCTTCTAAATAAATATGCTTCCGTAACTCGACAAAGTCAACAATATTTTGTCGTCAGTAATGTGATATTAAATAATAAAATAGATGTGTAGTTTAAAATCTGAAAAATACTCTTGAATAAATATTCAAATTTGTCCTATTGATTCTGGTCAGATCATTAGAGTGAAGTTGTAAAATTATTGTATTGCCATCGTTCCTTGATTCGAGGGCTGACTTTCAAATTTGAAAGTGTTGAAGTCTTTGAAAATGTCGTTCAAAGATTTTGTTACATACAAATATCCGTCATACATACCAAGCTAATAAAAGCGTGTTAATGAAAAACGATTTTATAATTTACGAATTAGTTTTTTATTGGTATTACGTAAAATTAATACAAAAAATCATTACACACAAACAAACAAAATAACTAGTTGTTACAATGAATGAAAACCTGCGCGCTTTAACTAGTGATAGCTTCATAATGACCATATAAGGTATTCGTTGGTACCGGAAATCAAATTATTTCTAGAACATCCGATAACAAACGCCCACAATGTAGGTGCCTAGATATTTCGAAAAATAATAATACAGTAGCGAACAACGGGTCAACTGCTTGTGAATTATTCCATTTAGCTCGATTCGACTATTGCTATCACAGTAACACAGGAGTTTTCTGGAGTTTTGAAGTCGTCGTGGCCTAAAGGATAAGACGTCCGGTGCATTCGTGTTGAGCGATGCACCGATGTTCGAATCCCAGGTGGGTACCAATTTTTCTAATGAAATACGTACTCAACAAATCTTCACGATTGACTTCCACGGTGAAGGAATAACATCGTGTAATAAAAATCAAACCCGCAAAAATTATTATTTGTGTAATTACTGGTGGTAGGGCCTCTTGTGAGTCCGCGCGGGTAGGTACCACCGCCTTGCCTATTTCTGCCGTGAAGCAGTAGGGCAGTCGTTGTAACTATACTGAGATCTTAGAGCTTATATCTTAAGATGGGTGGCGCATTTACGTTGTAGATGTCTATGGCCTCTAGTAACCACTTAACACAAGGTAGGCTGTGAGCTCGTCCATCCATCTAAGCAATAAAAAAAAAAAAAAATATATATAGACAATAGCTTGGGGCGTGACTTGCTTCGGTTGAGACCTTCTTTCCATATTTCTATCTCGTCTCATACTGTTATATCCCTAACCTGTATAGACTAATGCTTACCAAACACCTTACTCATCATAAGCTCTCTCACAGTGATTTCATGAGAACATACCAGGCTCAGTTCGGGTCAGATATTCATTCAAGTGAGACGTTTACCAATTTTCCTCACTATTTCTAAATTCTTTTATTATAATTAATTATTCATTAAAAATATTGTGTAGTGTCGAATAAATCCTTTTTTAAAAAGAGTTCGGCCTTCTCACTACTAACATTTGGTGGCAGCTTAAGGGATTTTAAGTAAAGAAAATCCGGGAAACGCCTTCGTGTGTGAACTGTGTAAAAAAGTTGTAAATTCAAAAACTAATTTCGGCTGTATTCGCCGTTGTGAGTTCTGCATCTCTCATTTAATTAAGTGAAAAGTGAAAATAACATGTTCGTGAACATCTTATACATGTAAGTTAATTCATGTGCACATTCCATCGGTGGTGTATATTCAAATAAATTACAAAACCAAAAGTGAAATTAACTTTCAACTAAATAAACTTTAATCCACAAACACCTCACGCTATCGCTACAATTGTCCAGTTCCGAGAACTCTTATCTCGCTCAGCGCATCCGCTCACCTGTATTTGGTATCGAATAAATTCAAGATAAATTATTACGATGACTACAAAGGAAGAGACTAGGCAGAGAGGTCAAAAATCAGAGAGTGAAGAGAAAATCGATTTAAACATTCTATTAAAGTTTATANAACAGGAAGAAATACCAATTCCTAGACTTCGAATCTCATCCTGAAACTCATTTAAAATTATAAGTTTCATCTTGTCGGGGGGGTTGTTATATCCCTAACCTGTATAGACTAATGCTTACCAAACACCTTACTCATCATAAGCTCTCTCACAGTGATTTCATGAGAACATACCAGGCTCAGTTCGGGTCAGATATTCATTCAAGTGAGACGTTTACCAATTTTCCTCACTATTTCTAAATTCTTTTATTATAATTAATTATTCATTAAAAATATTGTGTAGTGTCGAATAAATCCTTTTTTAAAAAGAGTTCGGCCTTCTCACTACTAACAATACGAAAGATCTAGAAGTCCGGTCAGAACGCATTATCGCCACGATCTCAGAGCGTTCGTTTGCGCAATACACTAACTCTTATGCAAACAACCGTGAATGAAGTGTACCACAATAAGTTCGCGCGTTACTGAATGGCAGTGGGTTGTTGCGAAACCTCCAGTTTTATTTACTTTATACCTCGAATATAACCTAAAATTTATATTTTTATAATAAGGAACTTCGTTCCTATCCAGTGTCCCACGGCACCACACATCTTTTCTTTTTTATATATCTTGTAATAAACAATTTTGTAACATTATAGTTGACTTATTATTGTACACGCCGTCAGGCGGACTTGACATTGGTGGTCGTCTTCTTGCATTTTAGCCATGTCATAGTTAAGCTTATTGACTAAGTTACTTATAGTTAAGCTTAGATGGTAGGACGAGCTCACAGCCCACCTGCTGTTAAGGGGCTGCTCGAGCCCATAGCCGCCACCCACCTTGAGATATGTGTTCTAAGGCCTCAGTACAGTTACAACGGCTGCCTCACCCTTCAAATCGAAACGCATTACTTCTTCACCTCAGAAATAGGCGGGGAGGGAGTAGCTACCCGTGCGGACTCACAAGAGGTTCTTGCCACCAGTAATTACGCAAATTATCATTTTGCGGGTTTGATTTTTATTACACGATGTTATTCCTTCACCGTGGAAGGAATCGTGAAAATTTCTTAAGTACGTATTTCATTAGAAATATTGGTACCCGCCTGCGGGATTCGAACACAGGTGCATCGTTAGATACGATGTCACCAGACATTTTATCCTTTAGGCTACGACGAACTCAATTTTGTTCACTTGTTCTCAGCAATTAGGTATTATTATAACTTATACGTCGAACACGCTTCTCAAGCCTCCATTGAGGGCAAAACATTACTATTTTAATTTATTAAAATATCATTCGTTTACAAACGAAAATTAATACAATTCTTGTAAGTTTTACATTTATTTATTGATTAAAATTAGTTTTCTACAAACATTCATGCATCTGTAACACAGTAAACACACACCAAACACATTCGGCACAAGTACAAAAGAATTATAGTTTAAATTATTTTGTGATTATTTTCAATACCTATTTATGTATATGATATGGTCAAATATTAAATTCTACAAAGGTTTTTTTTATAAAAACGGGCTTGTTTTGTAGCGAAACATACATCTTGGTCAATTTTAGTAACCAATGAATAATGTCAGAGACAATACATCCACTGCTCATTTCTAGCCATAGTGCATCCGCTGGTCTCTCCAGATCCAAGGCATCTACTGCCCATCTCTAGATCCAGTGCATCCACTGCCCATCTCTAGAAAGAGTGTGACCGCGGACTATCTCCAGTCACAGTATACACATTAACTTTTTACAGATTTAAAATTATCTTCGAAGATCTACTCATGAAGCTCGCGTTTTACTCTCGATAAATTATAACTACATAATTTATTTACAACTACATTTAAATATTCAAATATTATGGCATTAGATTTTAGTTTTCTGTTTGAATAGATTCCCGTCTGGAGGAAGCAGGAATCCGAAGAGTCCACCGGCTGAAACAAAAGAAATTAATTTTCATCGTTCTGATTGATGAAGTGTTTGTAAAAAGAAAAGTTATAGAGCATTATGTTTTTTTGTATTTTGGAATGAGTTCCTTATTATTATTATTTTTTTATTGCTTAGATGGGTGGACGATCTCACAGCCCACCTGATGTTAAGTGGTTACTGGAGCCCATAGACATCTACAACGTAAATGCGCCACCCACCTTGAGATATAAGTTGTAAGGTCTCAGTACAGTTACAACGGCTACCCCACCCTTCGAACCGAAACGCATTACTGCTTCACGGCAGAAATAGGCAGGGCGGTGGTACCTACCCGCGCGGACTCACAACAGGTCCTACCACCAGTAATTACGCAAATTATAATTTTGCGGGTTTCACTTTTATTACACGATGTTGTTCCTTCACCGTGGAAGTCAATCGTGAACATTTGTTGAGTACGTATTTCATTAGAAAAATTGGTACCCGCCTGCGGGATTCGAACGTCTTATCTTTTAGGCCACGACGTCTTCTATGGGACGATGCGGAGGATTTTATTCATTTTATTTTTCTATTCAATACACAACGTTCATCTTTTGATCAGATTGATTTAAGACTTTATATATAACTAACTACATACAGTAAGGAATCCGACCGTTTTCTTTTCGCAGCCAGACTATTTGTTACAATGTGCTTAGTGTGTAACTTTAGTGTGTAACTAAATTTGTAACTTTCAAACTGCATGAAAATTTGGGTTAACTTTTACGCTATCGAGAATGTTAAAAAACTCGCACTAAGCACACTTTACTCACTTTGGGTGGCTAATTAATGGCTAAGCTTACGGGAGATAATTATTTTTAATTTTTATTTTTAATTATTTACCTAGAGTGATCCCTCCGAATAGATAAAAGGCAGCTTCGCAGTTCGTCTCGATGAGGCTCTTGAGCACGTTGATGCCGAGGATCGTGCTGCCACGACCCAGCATCACCATCAGGCATATGGCCTTCGCCCTGGAACCATCATACATAGAGGTCATCTATACATTCGTATTCCGTAAGTTTTTTCTCACATCATTTGTTCCTGATGTTTCTTATACAGAAGTACACCAAGTTTTTTATTTTTTTATTTCTTAGATGAGTGGAGGAGCTCACAGCCCACCTGTTGTCAAGTGGTTACTGCAGCCCATAGACATCTACAACGTAAATGCGCCACTCAACTTGAGATATAAGTTCTAAGGTCTCAGTATAGTTACAACGGCTGCCCCGCCCTTCAAACCGAAACGCATTACTGCTTCACGGCAGAAATAGGCGGGGCGGTGGGATACCTACCCGTGCGGACTCACAAGAGGTCTTACCACCAGTATCTCATAACAAGTTTCTTGTATATTTCTGACTGCCTTCCAATCGTTGGAGTGCAATGAAAATCTATCTTTAAACTAAAGCGATCACGGTATATATTTAAAAACACCGTAATCAAATCGATGCAGCCCATTCATTCATTGTGGAGATCAGCGTGTACAAATAAACAAACAAACAGAAAACAATCTGTTTAACAGTTTGTAATGTTAAGTATGATTATGTCTTCATTGTTTTTTTAAATATGTATTGTGAATACTTCATTAATCTGGTATTCATTTATTAACGAATAAATATCACGCCAAGTTTTTCTAGGATTAGAATAAAACAAAGAGGATAGTTTTGTAGTGCTTAGATGAGCGGACGAGGTCACGGTGCACATGGCGTTAAACAGTTACCAGAGCCCATAGACATCAACAGAGTTAACGTCGCCACCCATCTTCAGACATGAGTTCTTAGTCTCAGTTATTATAGTTCCACAGCTGCCTAAATCTTCAACCCGGAAAGCTTTACTGCTTCACGGCAGAAATAAGCAGGGTGCCTACCCGAGCCCCCTCACTAGACGCCTCACTACTAGTATTTACACAAATTATAATTAGAATTATAGTCGTTCGTGAGCATTTAGCAAGCCGTCGTGGCCTAACAGATAAGACGTCCGGTGCATTCGTGTTGAGCGATGTAGCGGTGTTCGAATCCCGCAGGCGGGTACAAATTTTTCTAATGAAATACGTACTCAACAAATGTTCACGATTGACTTCCACGGTGAAGGAATAACATCGTGTAATAAAAATCAAGCCCGCAAAATTATAATTTGTGTAATTACTGGTGGTAGGACGTCTTGTGAGCCCGCGTGGGTGGGTACCACCACCCTGCCTATTTTTGCCGTGAAGCAGTAATGCGTTTCGGTTTGAAGGGTGGGGCAGCCGTTGTAACTATACTTGAGACCCTTAGAACTTATATCTCAACGTGGGTGGCGCATTTACGTTGTGGATATCTATGGGCTCCAGTAACCACTTAACACCAGGTGGGCTGTGAGCTCGTCCACCCATCTAAGCAATAAACAAAAAACATTTCTTAAGTACGTATTTTATTAGAAAAGATGGTACCAATTGTCTCTGGATTCTTACACCGCCACAGTCAATTCTCTCAATACGAATGCACCGGGTATCTTACCCTTTAGGCCACGACGACTTCAAATCGACTTCATTACTTGATAGTTCCTACTTCAATTCTGTCTATGTAAAGTGCTAACAATGAGCACCATACTCATCTCATTGTCGGATCTATCTCACTTACTTCACAAAAGTTGGATACAGGTCCACAGCGAATGCTGACAGGAATCCAAAGTTGATGACATCAGATAGAACCGCTATGAAGAGAAGAGCGCTTACTACCCACATGGAGCTCACGTTCAATAAGATACTGCTTACACCGGCCATCACCTGCGGAGAGTTCCAATGACTATCATACCTTAAATCGGACCTAAGTATTATTGGGGTCGGAGTGCGCTAATCCTTGTGCCAAAAATAATATTACATATGGGCACTACTTAAGATAGACTTAGAAGTGTTGTAAAATGACAAACAAGCGACAGTAGCTTGAGATGAGCGAGATCCATCGAATGTATCCGCGGTCACATACATCTTATTAAGATCCATCATCTTTAAATGCACTTCTTCTTTTTCTCCACGTTATCCCACAAAGTGAGAACGGCATAGTGAATTTTTCTATTCCATTCTCTTCTATTAGCCGTCATCTCAACATTCACTCCTTTCTCTCATATCGTCATTCACATACTCCATCTATGTCTTAAATGCACTATGCTTATCATTCAAATGGGATCTTCTTCTTCGCGTTCGCCTATCGATCGCCCGATTAAGGTACGGAGGCAATTAAACAATGAAATTTACCTGTATGCCTATAAATAGTCTCCTCTTGCCTATGATGCTGATCACGCCACTGGCCACCACGTTCAACACGGCCAGAACTATGCAGATACCGAAAACCATGGTCATGGCCACTCTGTTCATAGAGCAAGTGGAATTCGTCTGGAAAATGGAAATTGTTTTGATAGAACAAATATCTCTAAGTTAACAGTGTTCAGTTTGATATTGATCCAATCAAGAATGGTATAAGTAATTCAGTTCAAGAATCAAAGATCTATTTAAAAATAATAACAACTTATATAGAATAGTAAGTAGAACAAGGTTCTTTAAAAAAAATCAATCCAATAAGTTCGAATAAGCCAAGGACTTTGTTGCAGTAATAAGAAAATGGTGGTAAGTTGTTGACTAAGAACACAGATTTTTTATTGCCTTTGAAGTCAAATGAGCATTTCCTTGGTAATCTGTGGGTTAAGTTTACTTTTAAATGTTCAAACTTCTTTGAAAAATTAAGGCAAGTAGGCCTTAACCAGAATTATAGTTCTACAATGCAGAGGGATTAAGCCCGATCTTTTCAAACGAATGTTACAAATACTTTACACCTTGATAAAGACGAAAATGTATTGTAAGAAATTGCCACTGACCTCTTCCAGGTCGGTTTCATTCCTGGCCACCCTAATCATTTCGCACATGGTCATGCCGGAGTATCCTTTCTCCACCGAAGACATAAAAGCGTCCACCATGAATGGAAGCCAAACTAAGAATGAGTTTATGCTGAAATGAAGAATATAATATTTATATTTGACAAAAACTATGTACGATTTGAGTAGTAGGATTATAGGTTTAGCAGTGTCTTTTTTTTGACTATCTTAACTTGTAACACCTTCTAATAAGATCGATTATGGGAAATAAGATCTCCCAAAAATGCTTCTCAAAGCTCCGAAAGCATTATTACGATCTTACGATAAAGCAGAGATTGCCATTTGTATTTGCTTGGCCGCTATTTTGTCCTTACGGTTATCAAGATTAATAAGCATATTTACCAAATGAAAACTAAGATGAACATGAAACCGAGTAATAGCGTACTCTTCAGTAGCGGTGGTTTGAATAAAGGTAGCGTCTGCTCGGCAAGCACCTCCCAGAAACCTTTGGCTTTCTTATTCGCGTTATCTTCATCTAGAACTATTGATTCCACCTGAAAATGTAAGTTTATTTATTACTTTTGGTATTGGTTCAGTGAATTTTACGATTGATATATTAGAGATTGGGTTATCGAAAAAAAGGCCGTACGTGTACTCGAGATTGGTAGAATAATGTTGTTGGATATAACGATATCCGCAATGATGGGGAACCTTATTAAACTAAACCACTTGTGTCAAATATTTTAAAACACGGTTTGCAAGCCCGTAGTTCATATGACGAAAGATGTAGAAAATACGAAATTTATGGGTTTTTTTGTTGTTTTGTGTGCTTGCCAGTGCTTAGTATCAAGATCTATTTGATGTTTGTACTTGACTCGTGTATGTACAGTGACATTGTTTACAATGTTTTGGTTTTTGATACTAGGAAATATCAGCGTGTAGCTTCCTTTTCAATGAAGCAAAATATGACTCTGCTGCTGACAAATACTTTAAATATGCTAAATTTAATGCTACAACTAAATTTTTAGCGGAATTAGAAAATTAACCAAGCTGATTACAATACTGCTCCTTCGGTTTTTTGCTGCTTAGACGGGAAATAACTCACGATCCATCTGCTGTGAAATTATTAATAGAGCCCATAGACATCAACAACGTAACCCATTACTGCTTCATGGTAGAAGTAGGCAAGGTAATGGTTCCTATCCTTGTGGGCTCGCAAGATGACAGATTAATATCGGCATTGATCTGACGGTAGACTTAGGACGGTGCTGTTGTAAGAGCTTGTAAACAAGAGACCACATGAGACTAAAGACCTAATCGAAAAGACGGATTTTAAGCCATTAAAATATTTTTTTTTTTGCGTTTATTTATACCACTGATACTGCTGTCTAGAACTTTCCAAAGTAAGAATATACTTTGGGAATGGGTAATTTAGTCCTACTAATATCAATTAAAGGATATACCTGGTATAAATCTGCGCTCTTTCCGCTGTTATGCTTAAAAATTCCCTGCAGTATCTCCAACGCTTTCTCATCTTCTCCAACGCTCAGCAAATACTTTGGACTTTCATAACAGCACATCGAACCGATCGCGTTTAGAGCACACGGCAGACTGAAGATCACATTTAGAAGGCGCCAGGAGTTGAAATGGATGTTCAGGATCGGAATATAGTAGGAGAACTTCATTGGCAGGATCGGTATCGAGAGTACTGGAATGAAAAGTAATTAATTTAGATAATACTCCATAAATTGCATTTTACGTTTAAGATTTTTAACCTAAATGTCTTTACTGTCAAGACAGTATAGGGAAAGGACCATACACATTGTTAGTTATTCATCCAAATTTATTTTATCACCTTCAAAGTATGCTCTTTCAGAAACGATACACTTACGTCCAAGAATAATCCAAACATCAAAACATCCTTTAAGCTCTTTTTTTCCGAAATTGAGTTCAGTTCTCGACGTGAATTTTCCTTTAGGTATATCTCCTACCGAAAGGAAATGCGTGGCACAGAGTCGTAATTTGAGTTTAGGACAAACGACAATCCGTACGATTCGTAACAATCCCAAGTGCACAATACCGCGCGATGGTCAAAGAAAACAGTCAACAAAAATGACTTTTCATCGACTTAGATTTTTCACTTTAGATCAAATTGAAAGGTGGCACTTCTAAGTTTTTTGACAAGTTTGCATGCCAACCTCGTAAATCCACATCTCGTCACCAGTAACAATGTATTTTATAAATGTTATGAAATTCGCAATGCATACTATAATAAATTAGGAAATAACTAAAAATAACGCACTGAAAGTAAAGTTCAAATTTGCTTGCACACACAAAGCAACGGATCTAATTTAGAATTACGAAAATGTGACTACGTCAAACTCATTAAATATTTACTCACGATTTACTGTCGTGTAAACTATTCATTTATTTACAAAGCATTGATAAAAGTCTCAATTCGTGCATTTATTTAATTTAATTTATAACGTAATTTAATTCCTAAATACATTTTATAATTTTTTTCATATTCTATAGTGGAAATATTTTTTTAACTGAACACACAAAGATAAACGTCTGAAGCATTTACATTAATATTGTATTATACGTTTTCGTTATCATAATGTAATTTGATAGAAAATGTCGCATGTGTTATTATCAGACTGCGCGTATTGTGAGTGCGCACGTGTTGGAAGCACGCATTCTGCTGTGACGTATTTACGCGGTAGAAAGGATGAAAGGGAGAGAGGGTATGAGAAATGGTGGGGAATGCGAATTTGAACCCGCCAGTTTGCACAATGCAGTAACATGACATGAGATTACCTGTAAACAACCACTTGGCATGGATTTTGTATTCTAAATTGTCCGTGTCAAGGACTATAGCTATTTGACATGGGCCCTCTATTCCCCCGCCATCTATTTTATTGAAACTTGCCTATCTCTGTTTGTTTAAGGTCTATTTATATATATCTATCTTGCTTCTCTGTAAAATTATCTACCAACTTAAGCCAAAAAAGTTATTCTTTGTCCTGACAAAAAAAAAGGATCGTGAGTGCGTAATTCTAATAATTTTAATACTTTTGGTGAATATATTTATTTTAATTTATATAATTTAAACATTTTAATTTAAGATAACTAAAAAAGAACTATGTCATCGCTTAAAAATAGTCGCGCTTAAAAACGCGCTATCTCTGTGTTCAGCGTATCATAATTCTACGCCGTAGTTGAATACTAATAAACAAAATACTTAAATATATAGCATAATTCATACTAAACATAAAAAACATAACACTTGCCAGTGTTACAATAACAACTTGAAGCACAATGAATGGTTTTGTGATAATCTAGCAGCTGTAAAAATAGCAAAAATAGAGGTGAGCGTCAAGAGCCCGTCTGGGCAAGTCAGCGCGAGTCTTAGTTTTAAGGTAGAAAACCAAACTGACTGCTGCAGACTCGGTGTGGTTTATGCTTTTTTTTATTTTTTTATTGCCCTTGTAGGCAGACGAACATACGGCCCACCTGATGGTGAGTGATTACCGTCGCCCATGGGCTTCAGCAATGCCAGGGGCAGAGCCAAGCCGCTGTCTACCGCTTAATACCCTCCACAAGCCTCGTTTGAAGAAGGACATGTCATAGCGCTCGGGAAACACCGTGGAGGGGAGCTAATTGCTCGGTAGACCGACGGTCCGAATCTTGTTCTTATAGCTCTTATTCCAATTACGAAGTCCCTTTTGACACTTCTTAGAACGTAACTCTTCACGTATTCGCTCATTTTTTGTTCATGGTCTTAAACATCATTTAAAAAATACACAATCAATCTAAATCATTACACAATTAATTCACACACACAATAACATAATAATAACATCTGTCTCATGGGACTTCGTAATTGGAATAGAGTGGAATTTGTATATGTACACTTATCCTGAAAATGTCGTTAGCGAGATTCAGGCATCTGTCAAATATCTTGTGTTCAATGATAGCTACCCGTTACATGCTAACATTTCTCCTAATCGTAATGTAATTGTAAAATACTTTTAAGACGACCAGCTCACATTCTATATATTTAAAATGGCGTTACATAAAATTGCGTATTTATATTATATTAAATGGAGATACGATGGAGAAAACATGTGCAATACAGCCGCATTTGTCACGGATCAATGTTTCTTTGGAAGTTTCTAGTAATTTATTGGAGATCACGTTGTTCGAATTTCATCGAATGACACAGAAATTTTTTATTTTCCTTGAGAGGCTATTTCAGCTTCTCGTTAGCGTGTAGGTGAGCTCACGGGGCTCAAACCGGGAGTGTTGCTAACACTGGCCCTAGCAAGAGCAGTGGTTCGCAGAATCTACCACCGGACCGGATACGCGACCCACTGAGAAGATCCGGCGAGAAACTCAGTGGGCTGTGTCTATGGGTTAATTCACTCGTCGAGCCCTTCGTCGCAAGCGACAGGTTCGGCGAGAACAATGACCGATCATTTCCTAAAATTCACACTATAACACTTGTAATTTTACTACTTCCCAAACTTTTTGACACAGCCCACTGAGTTTCCCGCCGGATCTTCTCAGTGGGTCGCGTTTCCGATCCTGTGGTATATTCTGCGAACCACTGCTCTTGCTAGGGTTCGTGTTAGCAACGTCGTCAGGTTTGGGCCCCGTGAGCTCACCTACTATATAGTTAAGGATGCGCTGATATAGCCTCTCAAAACTATTAGCTCAGGTAGGAAAAAAAATTTAGGAAATGATTTAATTTCAGCTACGTTTTTGGTAAAGTCGCGAAACAGCTCTTAACGATACTCACTGGCCATGACCCCGGTGCTCGATAGCAGCGCGCTGGTGGTGAGCAGCAGCATGGTACTCCGGCGTATCGCAGGAGTGCACTCCCCTATCAGTGCTAAAGCCAACGCTGATGATCCCGATACCCTGAAAGACGAAGAGGAGAATGGAGTGAAAGTGGTTCTTCATTTAGTTCATGGGACGATGAAATTGTAAGCTGTTAAATTTACACTATTTCTGGCCTGGAAACTAACACCTCGCTAAGGGAAACCCTCACTGGTTGATACTTTTTGACCTGGCTGCTAGGTTTGAAGGCTGTAAATAACTATATTTTTAAACGACTTAAAAAAGGAGGAGGTTCTCAATTCGACTGTATGTTTTTTTTGGTATGTTTGTTACCTCATAGCTTTTGACTGGGTGAATCGATTTAGATGATTATTTTTTTATTAGAAAGCTGATGCCTCCCGTGTGGTCCCATTACAATTTAGTTCAGTTCTGATAATGGTATCCATGAGAAAACAAATCAACGGTTCGACAAATACAAAGGATTTAATAATATCGTTGTAGCTTTAAGTACCAAAAGTATGGTTCATATCAACATCCAATATGAAAGGATATTATCGCTTAATTAATATGAACCCTAAATAGTCATAGAGTACATTTACTGATGTGTCTCGTACTTGATCTGAAATTCTATCTCAAATAATGGCATAGTACTTACGCAGCCGAAGACAGGAACTTTAGTATGCTAAGCACGATCCAGTTGGGGGCCAGGGCTGCTGACGAACCAGCCACGAAGCCAATGACCATAGAAATGCAGAGCATCTTTTTTCTGCCTCGAGTGTCGGCTAAATACCCCCAAATGTGTGAGGTTGTGATCACACCTGTAACAAGGGAATGGTGGCATTTCAATGGGACGATGCAAATTACACGAATCTATATATTAATACGTGAAGCAAAAACTTCGTACCCCTTTTTACGAAAATTGCGCGGACGAAGGAGTATGAAATTTCTCACACTTATAGAGAATATAGAGAAGGAGTGCACAAAGCTATATTTTTTTTAATTAATGCATAAAAGATAGTTTAAATCAATAAAGAAAACATTACACACACTGCCATGTATTTGACACAACACATACATAAAAATATACTCTTTGTTTACTGTCAATTGCGAAACTTCTGTTATTGTTTAAAGTCTGTGGTCGAATTGAAAATAAATATTGTTTGTCTTTAATATTATTGATCTATAGTGCAGTTTTGGCGTATACTGTGCTTATATTACCTATCGAATTATAATAGTGTTTGACAATAGAGCCATAATAATGCACTTATAATATCAATTAATTATAGTCGAATTTCGACTACTGCGGGGCCACTAGTAAAGAGAATTTCAAGAATAATGTTTGCCATGAATCACCCTACGTATTTGTTGTGCATTGATGGATGCAATGCTCATTTAATCTGAATGCACTTTAATTGTACACGGGTTTACGCTTATTGTTCTAAATCTGACAATGACAACCACGCTCTTGTAACAATGAAGGATTGATAAGATAATTTCTCGATAATAATTTTTAAATTACATACCTACTGGGAAAGGGTTTTTTTTGTATTTCAGAAGAGACAGTAATTAATTGTTTGTTAAAAATATGACGTGTGTCTTTTCATTTCGTACTGAAGAATGAACATGCGATTTCAGTGAAACGATTTAAATGTCATCTTTTTAATTGCCAACTAATAAAGAAGCTGATTTCTCACAAAAACAAAACTTGTTCAAATTGCTAAGATTTCATTTCCAATGACATTAATATAATCTACGGTACAATCAATATTGGATTTATAAATCGCTTGAAAAATTCGATTTCAAGAGATTAAGACCTCATTTCTCATGGGTCATAGCAATCTTTTTTTAATTTTTTTTATTGCTTAGATGGGTGAACGAGCTCACAGCCCACCTGGTGTTAAGTGGTTACTGGAACCCATAGACATCTACGACGTAAATACGCTACCCACCTTGAGATATCAGTTCTAAGGTCTCAAGTATAGTTACAACGGCTGCCCCGCCCTTCAAACCGAAATGCATTACTGCTTCACGGCAGAAATAGGCAGGGTGGTGGCACCTATCCTCGCGGACTTACAAGAGGTCCTACCATTAATAAGGATCAGTAATCACCATGTCTATAGGCTTTGACAGCCGCTTAATATCAAAAGCGACGTGGGCTAACTCACCCACATACCATATACCATAACCATAACAAAAATATTGAATTCAGTCTGAACTATGTAGTAAGTACATCATATTGCCTTACCGATTAATGGGAGACCAGCCATCAATCCTTGCTGCGTACTGGTGGTGTTCAGCTCGCAGGCACTAGCCGGCACGAGATATGATACGGAGTAAAGCTCGAAGACCATGGCTGCTATGATGCTACTGCAGAGCATGAAGACGAGCAGGTTGAATTTGCCGAACCCTGGGAACAAGAAAGAAACACTGTCAAGAAATGTAAGCAAGGGCTATCTTGATTTGGGACTTTAATCATTATCGTTGTGTTTCTGTAACAATGTGCACTTGAGTTGAGGCTGTATGGTTCTTAAAAGCGACCGCCCCGTATAGCCCAATTTAGAAATGAAGTCGAGATCTACCTGTGACAAATACTTATTACTCTTCAAAGCCCCACACATTAGAAATGGCAGGGGCCAATTAAGCGTTGCACCAGTTTTTATTTAGCCATCGTAAGCGCTAGTTACATCCTCGACCTAGACGAATGGGCAACAAACACCTGCCGTCGTCCTAGACATGTGCATTCGGATCTTCCACATCGACCCTCGGTGCTTTTTTTTCGGTATACGGACGGTCACCATTCTCTTTGAACTGGTCAGAGCAATCAAAAATTCGACGCGTAACTTAATTTAAAGACCCTTTGAGTATCTAGCCGGATTTTCTCAAGGTGTTGCGATCCTGATTCAGTGGTAGTTTGAGCGAAGCACTGTTCTTGTTGGAGCAGATCTTAGCGAATTCCTCAAACTTAGCCCCATTAGGTTGGACACCAGTCAGGGTGAAGCCATAATAAGCCCTTGAGGCCACCAGCAGATCGATAGGGAAAAGAAGCAGTTTTTCGTTATGCAAAAAGGTACACATACTTGTATGATGGACAGCATATCCCCTTATTTTTATATTGTTATTTTTTTTATTGTTTAGGTTGGTGAACGAGCTCACGGCCCACCTGATGTTAAGTGGTTACCGGAGCCCATAGATATATACGATGTAAGTGCGCCACACACCTTGAGATATAAGTTCTAAGGTTTCAAGTATAGTTACAACGGCTGCCCCACCCTTCAAACCGAAATGCATTACTGCTTCACGGCAGAATTAGGTAGGGTGATGGTAACTACCCGCGCGGACTAACCAGAGGCCCTACCACTAGTAATTACGGAAATTATAATTTTGTGGGTTTGATTTTTATTACACGTTGTTATTCCTTCACCGCGAAAGTCAATCGTGAACATTTGTCAAGTACGTATTTCATTAGAAAAATTGGTACCTGACTGCGGGATTCAAATATCGTTGCATCGCAAGATACGATTGCATCGGACGTCTAATTATTTAGGCCACGACAACTTCGGCCAAATATATAATAAAATAAAAGATGTGGTGTCGTGGGACACCAGGTAGGAACGAAGTTCCTTCGGCTAATGTAGAATCGACACAATTTGCAAAAAAAAAATCGTGCTCAATTTTATGTAGGTTTTCTTGATTTTTCTCTTAAATTTTGCTGATTAGTTTTTATTTATGTGCAGGAAAGTATGTAAAAGTAAAAGAAAGAGGGAGAAAGAGAAAGGTATTATACACTACTCGCTTGTGTATGCGACTGTCGCGCCTGCGCACGTCTCATTTAACGGTTTTATTCCACGCACTTTTTTCCACGGATTTTTTCTTACGGTTTTACTATCACATTTTTTCAGTTCGGTCGCGCAGCAAAATCCCTATCCCCTCCAAGCCAGCCGTAAGGAACTTCGTTCCAACAAAAAAATCCGCTCTAATTCATTCAGCGCTAAGACAAATCGGCTTTCAACTGTTCTTGAATTATGTAAATTGTGAAGAAATCACGAATAGAGAAAGCTTCCTATGTTTTACTGGCTTACGTTTTCAGACTAGCAATTAGCGCTTGTTATCTTAAGTGGCACTTGTTAAAAGAACCCGTAACTTTAGGCGACAATTGGTTCGTATTACGATAATTGTGGATTCAATTGGACGACGGCTAAATATTATTCATTTTAGAGATTGTACACGATTTCTGGCCGTAAGTTGAACTAAGTCAGTTGCGGAACGTGCTCTCGGCACCCGTGAATTATAGTCACTAGTATAATAACACTAGTATAACAGTGTACATGGCATTTTTATGAGGTACACAATAACAATATTCCCTGAGTTTCATGCTAGGAAAACCTGTCTTATAAAAGTCAGCGGTTCAGTGCTGTAAGAATGTAGTACGTATTCGTGTGTGTTTGTGTGTGTGCGTGTGTGTGAATGTGTTTGTGTGTGATGCAGAAACGAAGAGTTCGAGTTTGCAGTTGAATATAGCCCTATTTAAATGACCGAGAACTGAAAACAAATCACGCACGATCATTTAGCCCAAAATTAGGATTCCGTGTTATGGGTACCAGATACTGACATACATGTTTAAATATATACATATATGGATAATAAACCAAGGCAAAGAACAAACAAACTTTTTCTTCACATAAATGATTGCCCGAAATGGGTATCGAACCCACGACCCTCAGCTCAACAGTCAGGGGCGCTAGCTACAGCACCATCTAGTCAGTCTATATTAATTTTATTTTATTTTTTATTACTTAGATGGTTGGACGAACTCACAGCCCACCTGGTATTAAGTGGTTACTGGAGCTCATAGACATCTACAACGTAAATGCGCCACCTACCTACCTGTACGGACTCACAAGAAGTTCTAACACCAGTATTTACGCAAATTATAATTTTGCGGGTTTGATTTTTATTACACGATGTTATTCCTTCGTGAACATTTCTTAAGTACGTATTTCATTAGATTAGTACCCGCCTGCGGAATTCGAACGCCGTTGCATCGCTAGATACGAATGCACCGGACGTCTTATCCTTTAAGCCACGACAACTTCAACTCAAGGCGAGTTACGCCATGAGCTCCCTTAGTGACTGAATACCATATGTCCATTGACCTAATCTGCCCGTTTATGCTTTGGGGCTTACGACAAAGGGAAGATCTTCCACCGAGCGGGTGATATTGCTCGGTAGACCGACGGTCCGAATGTTGTTGTTCGGAACTTGTATATATGCGCTTTTATCTTGAAAATGTCGTAAATGAGATTCAGGCATCTGTCAAATATCTTGCGTTATATGATGGCTACCCGTCACAGTGCTAATGTCTTCCAATCAATTAGATTGTGAGAATTATTTTGTGAATTCACAGTACGTTTCTTGTTTTCAAAATTTCTCTTAACAATAGCAGACGCTTGCTGAATAATATATCGCCGCGTTCTTGCAAATTTAGCGCCGGTCAATGCACTCTGACGGTATCTAATGGCCGGCGTCACTGTCTAAAAATTCAGGGCGAACATTAAAATGGTACCTGATTACACGCGATTGACTGGTCAATACATTCAGATGAACCACATGTAGTGTCAGGGATATGTGCTCATAAACTTAGTGCTTATTCGGCTAACTTAGTAGGTTCTGAAGTTGAGAAGCATTGGTATCATGATTGAAAATATATAACTTAATATATTTTTGTACCGTACAACATCTAAGAACAATTAAATAAAACAGTATATTGGTTTTCATGGTACCACATGATTCTTCTTCTTCTTACTAGCATTTTCTCCGTCTAGTATCAGGGTTGGCTTTCCAACTTGAACTCCTCCACTTTGCCCGGTATTCGGCATCCTTCTGTCTGAGGTTATTCTCCTCTATTTCCGCCATTATCATATCCAAAATGTTGCTATACAGTTTAAGCTTTAGTTTTTTTTTCTTACCTATTCTGATAGCCTTGAGAGGCTATATCAGCGTTACCCTAGCGTGTAGGTGAGCTCACAGGGCTCAAACCGGAGGTGTTGCTAAGACTGGCCCTAGCAAAAGCAGTGTTTCGCAGAATGTACTACCGGATCGGAAACGCGTCCCACTGAAAAGATCCGGAGAGAAACTCAGTGGGCTGTGTCTATGAGTTAATTTACTTGTCCAGCCCTTCGTCACAAGCGACGGGTTCGGTGAGGGCGGTGAGCGGTGCTTCAGGTACCTAAAAGCACCACGTTAATGGATCGGGAGGATCCGTAATGACGTGCTTAGGGCAATTTTAGTAATTATCGTCCTGTTTTTTTATTAGCGCGTTCTTCGTCTTCCCTATTTGATTGTAATTGTTGTTGGCATTTTAAGGCAGGTTTGTGGCATAGTATTAATCAATCACTTTAGAAAATGCGTGTGTTTGAAACATGTAAAATGTCGATAAATAATATACAATTCATGAATGTACTTATTTTTGTTTTGTTTTTTTTTTTTCGTATTTCATATATTTGCATTACGTTAATCCATTTGCGTTGACAATTTAAGTTTGTATTGATTAGTCTAGGAAGATTTTTGAAATTCAATTGAAGTATATAAGCGGCGGAATTTATACGAAAAATAATTTATCTTTTGGCATTGTCGCAGAAAAACGTGTCCGGAATTCACGTGGAAGAATTTAATCTTTAAAATTCAATCATGATGAAAGCACATTGAATTAATGATCAGAATTTGCTAATGCCGTTTTAACCAGCCTTGTGTATCTCTGATGCAAACAGATAAATATGCAAATGCTTGCTTTGACCAAATTGACGTAAATCAATAAATTAATCTGAAAAGTTTTCTACCAGCGCAAGTTTTTGAAGTGAAACATCTTTATGCGCATGAGGGTAAAATTTTTACAGAACGTCACGCAGGTATGCAACGGAAGTGACATCAAACTACTATTGAAATTAAGTACTTGTCAAATGTCAGTAGTAGTAGTTGTTGTATTTTTCCAACTGGAAAGGCAAATGTATCATACCATACAGCCTAATATTTTATATTTTTTTTGTGAAAAATGTTAATAGGAATTGAAATGAAATGAAAAGAATTTGGAACATTAATCAAATAGCATGAAATTAAGTTAGTCAATTCAATTGGCAAAATATTAGTCATTTACAATTTAGAAATCCAAACATAATGTGACTGTCAACATTGAGGTTTGAGATTGACATTTGACAGACTTTTGGCGGGAACATATCTTCCTTTTTCCCTTCCTCTAAGTCTCGGAAATCTAAAGTTTTAGATTTGTATAAATATAAGCAAGACTTATAAATTAGTTCGCCAAAAAAGTTTCACTTCTGACATGTGTACTTTGTACGCACGCACTTTTTTTTTTAAAATCAAAGAACAAACTACTTTAATTTTGAGCTGAAC